GCGAGTAGCTGGCTTACGACCTTGTTGAGAAACCACGAAATTCTATCCGTGGTCCCGCCAACACAGCTGATTATTGGGCGAATTTCAAACGTTTGCGGTGACAAGGAGTGGATGTCGCTCGCTGCAACTTACGAGTTTTCACCAGATTGTAAAACACAGGGCAGTTTGGATTTTCCAACTTCAACCTACTTATCAATCTATCATCTAACCCTGCGAATCTTCCCACTCGAACCCAAACCTCATTCAGTTTTTTGCATTGCATCTGAAAATCTCGTTTGTTTGAGCGCTGATATATAGGGCTTATCAGATTGGGTGTCGTTTACACCGGCATCTCCATCTTCGCGCTGGACTCTGAGTCTCTTCCGCAGAGCTGCTCCCTGAGCACTTTCCCAGGGCGAGCGTGGGAAAGACGGGGCATCAATCGATTGGAAGTGGTTAGGGAGCATGTACCGCAGAAGAGACGCAGAGCCCAGCGCGAAGATGGAGATGCTGGCGCAAACGACACTCAGTTTGATAAGCCCTATACCGTCACATCGGAGAGGTGCATCTCTGCAATTTCCCTGTCTAATGACAAGTGATTCAAATCAAACAAAACATTACCAAAGTTGAAATTTTTTATGAACTAGCTGGCTTACCCGGCTCCGCCTGGCCCTGTCAAAAACGATAAAGGTTCAATTTCTATCCCTGTACACCTTTACCTGTGCCCACTTCTACATTCTCTATTCCCGCTGCGTGAGTAATCAGTATGCTCACCTACCTTCCTCACCAACCCCCCAGCCCCGTAGCTCAAACTTTGCACAAAAAAACCAATAAAATTGATAAGAGTAAGGATAATTCTAAAAACTGATGGCGTTATTCGGCTATCCGGGCCCCAAAATGTCTTTGTGACGGATCTTGCTCAAACTCGGTATATGGGGGTTATTTGAGCCGCTGATGACGATATCATAGTCATCGCTTGGCAGCGGATAAAAATCATAAACCTGCCTGAAACCTTGGCAGGGAATTACCTAAAGTGCTGTTCAAAGAATATCGTGCTCAATCCCCGCGATAAAGGCAATTCGTGTGGTATAAAAGTTGCCCACGACCGTAATGCTTTCCTTATAGGACCACTGCCGCGCGCGATACACCCTTCGGCGGCTTTTGCCTAAGCAGAAATAGGGAGAGACATTTGCCGCGTGCGATACACCCTTCGGCGGCTTTTGCCTAAGCAAATCAGGGGAGGGAGATTGGCCGCGTGCGTTACACGTTGGGACAGGTTAACAGGATGGCGCTGGAGACCGCCATGCAAAACGACCGTTTCCCAATTTCATGAATATTTGGGATCTGAATTGGCCCTGTCCATTCAAATAATGCAACTCACACAACTTCACTAATGCGTTATGGCAGCGAGCAAGTTTCATATTCATAAGCAGTATACTTGTGAACCGTTACAGGTAAGGTTTTGAGCAAATCTGGAACTTCGACCCATCTACACCCACCGTAGCCCAAGAAAATGCAGCATCCTGCGAAATCAACATGATATTTATGTTCAGCGCGCTAAATGACTACCCTAGACGAAGTTTGAAGCAAATCTATGTTTTCGACCTCACACCGTATAACCACCCTAACTCTATGAAGAGGTCCCAATATGCAGAGAGAGTATGAAAATTTATTCATAATTTATTTAGTATTCGTAATCAGCATGTCGAGTAAGTTCTCTGGACTCCAGCCGAATTCATGATTTTGACTTCCTACCACACCTATCGTAACCACATGGAGAGACTTTCTGCGACGAAAGTGTGATATGTGCTGTTATCAGCATGTAAGATAACCCCTAAACACGAGTCTGAGCAAGCTCTATGACAGAAAAATTTTGGGGCGCGGTCAGCCGAATAGCGCCAAACTAATATCGAACTCGTAATCAGCATGCTTGATTACCCCCCTGTGCGAACTCCCAGCCCCGTAGCTCAAACTTTGCAAAAAATCGATAAAATCGATAAAAATAATGGACGATTTCAAAAACTAATATTGTATTCGGAATCCCCATGCTCGATTACCCCCCTGTGCAAACTCCCAGCCCCGTAGCTCAAACTTTGCAAAAAAATCGATGAAATCGATAAAAGTAATCGATAATCCTGAAAACTAATATTGTATTCGGAATCCCCATGCCGATTACCCCTTGCTCAGATAATCGCCGGGGGCAGGCGGTCCGCAAACTCGCGCTTTTCTGCAGGCGGTCAGCAGAATCTTGGGGCGTGGCCAAACCTTCGGCGGCACTTCCTTTACGGTCGCATATTCTGCCAGCGGGCAGCAATACAGCAATTTTTGCAAGCGCTCGGCAAATAATTTCTTTCAGCGAGCGCTGGCCAAACTTTCAGCAAGCGCTCGGACTCTTTTTAGGCATTTTCGGGCGTACGTCGAGCGCAGGTAAGACTCTGTGTGGCAGAGGTGTCACCGTTGGTTTAATTACTCAAGTTTGAGGTACTTTCTCTCAGCGAAAAGTACCTGGGGGTTGCGCGGTCCTCCACAAAGGACCGTGCGGCCCTCGAAATTTTTGCATATTCTCGCGGAAAGTCCGCGAGAATGCGGCCACTGCGCCGCAGCTAATCCATAAAGAAACCGCGATTGTTCTTCAAGCATTCGTCTTTAATTTCGCCAACTTTCTTCCAAATTTCTGCAAGCGGGCCGCAAAAAATCAACGAACTATTTTTCCGGTGCGCGCTTGCTCAAAATTTGCATGGCCGCCTGCCCCCGGCGGTTATCTGAGTGTGCAAACTCCCAGCCTCGTAGCTCAAACTTTGCAAAAAATCGATAAAATCGATAAAAGTAACCGATAATCCTGAAAACTAATATTGTATTCGGAATCCCCATGCTCGATTACCCCACTGTGCCAACTCCCAGCCCCGGAGGTGAACTCTACAAAAAATAGATAAAAATCGATAAAATCGATATCGATGGATGATGAAAAGTAGCCTATGACACCCGCCGGGGCCCGAAGTGTATGTGTGCCAAGTTTGGTCGAGATCGGTTCAGAAATGGAATTTTCTATTCGGAACATACGTACACACAGACATACAGACATACATACAGACATACAGACATACAGACATACAGACAAACAGACATTCGGCTTTATATATAAGATAAGGAGGTAATGCTGCAGGTGATTGAGATGCGAAGTCCAGAATGTACCAAAATTGGATTTTCACACTCTGGTTTCGGAGCTTGAACTAGACCAGAAGTGTGGCCAACCTGCCGCCCCTCATCAGTAGTTCACAGGAAGGCTTCCAAAAGTAATCTGAAATAATAAGAAGAATGAGGAGTATTATGAAATAATTAAGCAATAAAAGAATGTGAGGATGAAAGTATGGAATGCTTTTGGCTCTTTCTTTCAGGCGATATCACGGCCTTGTTTAAATCTACACCGGCAAGCTACGCGGGCAGTTGCGCGCGTCTGTGCTTCTGGGTCGCGCTTGCTCATGCTCAAGACAGGCGGACTTATCTGATGGCGGACTTTCTGCAAGACTTTTGGCGGCGCGAGGGCGATTTTTACAATCGATTTTTCGTGTCAAAAAGGCGGACTTATCTGCGAGATTTTACGGTAGATAACGTATGTGCGGAATAGATTTGTAATTCCATTCCGGACCAACTGCGCCACATATACTTCGGGGCGGGGAGTCATAAGCTACCCTTCGTTTTGGTCGATATCGATTTTATCGATTTTTAGCAAAATTCAAGCTACGGTGTTGGGATTTGGCGCAGGGGTGGGGGAGCATGCTGATAACGAATATAATAGCCGATTGTATTGACAGAGCGGGCGGAACCGGGTATGCCAACCAACTAGTTGATATTTACTTTTGCGTACGTCCAATTTATATAACAAAACGATAAGGGATGCGGCTCTTATTAAGCAGGAACTTCTTAGTTTGTTGTTCACGCACATTGAATGAACTTTTATAGAGACTCTAACATCCTAAAAGGCTCGCAAGCACCTCATATGTAAAACTCCCCGAGGGCGTCGCTGGTTATTTCCCAGGAAATCCTCAGGAGGCTCTAGCAATGCCTGAAGCTCCCAGCCGTTATCCGAGTTCTTGATCTATTTCAAAAATGGACTGGAACGAAAAAGTTTTAATTATGCGACGTATTTTGCACACCTCTCCCACAATAATAGCAAAAATGTTTTGAATATGGAATTAAAATAGTGAATCACAAATCTCATATGCGCGTCATAGTCTTCCGATCTCTACGTGCAGCAAAATTTACATAGAGCGAGCATGAGTGTATGGTTTTTTCAATGTACAACCTCATTCTCTCAACTCATAAGCGGTTTAGAGTAGATTACTCGTGTGCTACTATTCGACGTCCATATATACGGGCGGAAACACGAAAGTTTTTACTTACTCGCGTCATTGCCATGCGTAAACTGTAAGTTTTTCCTTAAGCTGTTTTTGTTTATTTTGTAAACAACTAGCAGGGATCAGGAATTGAATGTACAAAACACTAAAATGATCTTTGCTTATCATCCCTAAAGAAAAATCAAGGACCAAGGAAATTAACACTTTGAAGACTTTGTAAAAGAAGAAATCGCTTATCTCTTGTTTTCTGAGTTCTACATTTTCTTTTCCATAGGGAATCAACTTTTTTGCTTATTGCTATTGAATGAATAGTCTGAATTGAATAACGAAGCTATAGAACCCACTCCATCGTTCAATATATTGATTTCCGCGAGCGCTGCGCGACGTCGCGCGCACCCATTAGGGTTTCGGTGCAGGCTGATCTCAACTTTTATCGTTGAACCTTTGATAATGATCTTGCGTATGATGACGTCTGACCTCAACGGTCTCAGCAATTGCGCTATTTCCGTCTATTTGCGTCTATCAATTCCTATTGCCAGAACGGCGATTCATTTTTCGTGACGTGATATGAGTTATGTCACAATTTGAACCGCGAAGGGTTTAAAGGTGCTAGCGTAGCGTTCACAGAGTTCAGAAAGCACTAGCGTTTAATTCACACCCCTTCAAATGGACAATTACAGCGAGATATTCACCGTAACCCGACCGGACGATCAGCCTCCGCCGACTTCGAAGGATCGATTTGTATTCAAAAATAGGACGAGATTCATTATTCTGCTCATAGCTACGCTATGTCTGTCGATTGCTCAAAGCGATACGCTCACGCTGAATTTTACGATTATATGTATGGCTGGGGATCCGGTGGATATCAGCCGGTATAATGTATCCGGAACGATCCACGAGACTGAGAATGGCACTTACATTGAGGTAGGCAGTCTTGCTGTTTTTGTGTCAGCAAAGTTTCCCGAATTATCACCTTTATCAGCTCCGGTAAGCAGTCCCACAGGAAAATCGAAAGATAGAATCGCTTTTTAGTCTAGAATTGCGTACACAAAAAACGAAGCCCTGCAAGAAAGGCCAATTCAGCAATGTTGCTGTTGATTTTTTTGAATTTGCTATGTGACTCATCACCACAATTTTCCAAAGCTTTTCTGATATGGAGAGCACAACCCATGTATTCAGCCTTTCATTTACAAAATTAAAAGCTCGACGAACACATTCAGTTTCTATTCCTTGTTGAGGTTTTCGAAAAATTTGAGCTAGCTGTAAATATGCAAATGGTCAATCATTCCAAGATATAGCACAGTTTGCTCGGACCTTATTGTTCAGATTACAATACCTTACCTATCTAATATACTGTATTATTGGTTTCGTGGACTCAACTGTGTCAGGCATTATTGTTACAGTCCCTTTCTTGTGAGTAAAAAATAGGATACACGGTTGATTGTTAACATCTCTTTCCCCACAAAGTTTTTTGTCGATCGCCAGACACATCTTGTGAAGCTGGCTTCAGCTTAGGCTTACAGTATGAAGCAAATCATTAATCCCTCTTCATTACTGTAGAATTACTGTAGCAAATAGAGAATTTTGAGCCATTTAGGGCCCTATTCTGCCATATAAAGCAAAACGATCAATTTGGAAATCTCTTGCACTAGCTCAATCAGTGTCGCTGACTTTGAATAAGCAGTCCGCACTTTACCGTAATGCTTCATTTATAAGTCATACCAAGCATAGCGTAACAACTGTAATCTCAATATTCCGTAAATTAGTACTCTAATTAAAAGGATGTAAAGACTCGTAAGATGTCAAGCACTACATGGTTGACCTTTTTGAACAACTGGATAATTTTTTGAGAACTATTGAGGGGCGAGTACCTTACAATGGCGCTATGTAATGGGAGTTCCTGGGAGTAGCGTAATACACTAGTATCGTAAGTCTAAGCTGTAGCCGCCTTACAGAACGGTACTGAGGGTTGGCCAGGGCCCGGCACGCGTTGGTTTTGAGGTTTTTAGGAAACGAAGTCCCCCATGACTTCGCGAAAATTTACGAAGCCCTCTCGATGTGAAAATCAGTAGGGAGACTCTTATTCAACCAAAACAGCAACAAAAAAGCGAAATAAGCGCATTTTGAGGTATGTAATATAACAAAAAAGCAAAAAGAAAACATTTCGAGTCGTCTGCCATTGGGTATAGTACCATTTTGATGCTGGGAATGTCGAAAATCTCCTAGGCCAACCAAATCTGTAGCCTCAACAATCCTGCGATGCATTTTTCGCCACATATTTCAAACAGGGTCAAGCGTGTTGATGCGATCCTGGACCCTCATTTACGACCCCCCCCTTGAAGGTACCCATCCGTATGACCCCCCCTCTCCCCCCTCCCTCCCCCCCCCCTCCTTCCCCCTCCTCCCTCTATCCCCCTTACCCAGTGGCGTACCCAGGATTTCGGCTCGGGGGGGGGGGGGGCGCGACAAAAAAATTTTTCTAAAGAAGGTGCGTGGCGTTAGCCACGCACTCCGAAAAAATTTTGGGGGTGCTTCTCAAAATTTTTGCGGGCCCCCGAAAAATTTTTTTTACAAGGCTAATTTGAATTTTTGAAAATTTTTAAAAATTATTTTAATTATTTACAAAAATAAACAAGTCACTTGCACATTTTTATAACCCATATAGGTAACTTTCAAAAATTTCGCGACCCATTCTCGGGGGGGGGGGGGAGGCGCGCGCCCCCCCCCCCCCCCCGCCCCCCCTCGGTACGCCACTGCCCTTACCTCCTCTGCCCACATTTCCGGTAACGTTTAAACGAATGTCAATCTCAAAAAACACCTGTGTGAGAAGTTCAGTGAGGTTTCGAAAGCAGAATTTCTAGGCCAGTGGGTGGCCCAGCAGCTCTAGCACATATACGCACCTTCAATAATGTTTGAGATTCTGCAAGTTTAATTTTGAATTTTCAGGCATACTTCAGGCCAGCAAATTCGATTCCCGTATGCGACACAAATCTTTACACGGAGAACAAAAATGACATTCTTGAACTACAAAAGATGTTTTTGACTAAGAAGCTCAGTTCTTACCTCTTCCACAGTTTTTCCTGCGAAAAAAACCGCTTTAGCGCCGTCCAGAACGACGTCAAAAACATGCATGAGCACGGTAGTTTGAAAATTCGTAAGTAAGGCCAGGAAAAGACTGAGAGGCTGCAAAGAACAGGTTCTGTAGCATAGTGCCCAGACTATTCATGGAAAGAGTTTCAGCCCTTGAGGAGCTCTGAGCTCGAAAATATTTAGATCAGGCACTCGCAAATTTAGATGCGATCCTAAAAGCAAAAACTGGGATTTTTGAGCTTAAAATTTTGTAACTTACCAGAGAAGTTATAAAATAGCCTGAAATTCTTTTGATAAAAACTAGAGGGATGGCATCGTATTACAGCAAGTTTGCAGCTAACAAGCTTCAATAGCTCCGGAGAAATTTAGATCAGGCGCAGATACGACCCCCCTTTTCCCATTTTTTGCTACCATACATAAAATCATAAGAAAATCCGCAGTTTATAAAATAACACCAGATTTCGCACAGCAGTAGCAGGGCTTATCTTAAGTATATATAAATTGTAAGGGTCGCATAAGTGGCATTACAAAAAGATTTACGGATTATTGATTGTCATCGTTGATCTACATGTGCGTTTTGTCGAGTGTGCGAGTCTTCAGTGAGCCTTCGGAAGCAGGATGTCTACACCAATCGGTACATCCAACATCTTTATCACACATACATGCCTTTAGTAGCATTTGAGCTTCTGAAAGTGTCTATTTTTGGATTTAGTCATGCCAGCAGGGTTCGATCCCCGTTTGAGACAATATTTTGCGGGAGAAATAGCGATTCCCATAAAAAAAAGAACTAAGTCATAATCTTTCAAAAGTGCAGCAAATGAAGCGAATTTCTACGCTTGCAAATGTTTTCAAATTATTGTTCACTAGTTTTTATTTGATACATTGGTACACGGCATTCCATGAATTTATTGTTGAGAACATGTAATAATTACTTGCTATTTGATTTGCTTTCAATCGTGCGGTTTTTTATCCAAACTATCCCCTCTTACGACCCCCTCCCCTCACCGTAGGCCCCCTTTACGACCCCCGTTGCGACAGTCGCATCACACGCTTGACCCTGATTTCAAAGGACACCACAAGTGACTGGAGCGCGATATCTATCAACGCGCAGAATTCTACTACTTTGACTCAAAAAAGGGGACAGGCAACGGTTTGATCCGCTCTCTTCACTATATGATAGATTTTTGACCGTTCTAATCGTCCAAATCAAAAAGGTCCAAAACTTATGTGAACTCTCCGATATTTATGCTCCGAACCAACCCAGTTGGTTTGGTAGTTGGTCTAGAAACCAACAAATTCGAGAACGGATATTAGGACACATAAGTTTTGGGAACTTTAACATGTTTGGAGTAATATTGTATACTCATAGCCCAAATTCGGAGCCATGTGATTGTTTGTGCGCTATAAACAAGCCATTTGTTTGTTTGAGTCTTGCATTTGAAATTCGCGCGCTTGCGAAAGAACACGTTCAACTCGTGAAACCTGACATGTTCGTCGTGTTTTTTTGGCGCTTCCTCCAGGATCTCATGAAAACGTTGTCCCCGTTGCTTCTAACTCCAGAAACGAAGTCCAGTTTGACCCCAAACCATCGGTGCCGGGCCCTGGGGTTGGCCTTCGTGAGGGAAGAAATCTCAGCGATCGAATAGTGTATACATTGATTTTTTATATTTGGGACACCCTGTATAGGCTACCATGAAAGTATATCCTTTCATTCCACGGGATAGGCGGCTCGAAAGCGACCGCTTGCACCCTCGACGCAGTCTGCGTCTCTTTTTCGAGCGTAGTCTCTATTGGGCCTCGAAGCCCGCCTCCCAGCCGCCAATCCTGTTGAATCAAAGGGTACAATGCTTACAAACCCAGCTATCTTATAAAACTATCTAATTTTTGCAACGAATTTTTTTTAATGTCAGTTTCGGTGAAGTTGACTATAAAAGATGAAGAAACAGACTTGGGATGTTAGTTCCCAGGTCATATAAAGTTTGTGCTGTTAAACTCCAATTGTTAAATTATTTTCTTTATTTCTTGATATGGCAATTAGCCATTTCAGAGCAAATTTTGAAGAACTTGTATTCGCACTACATGACCTTGCTCTCAGGAATTTTTTCGCTGCTCAAGTTTTGTAGACCAAATGTCTTGCATCGGATTACAAAATAGGTGGTATGCTTGCAAAAATTCCCTATAAAGTATTTTTTGGTTCCGTTGATTGAAGTTCATATTGGTGTTCTCTTGCGGTTGTCATTGAAATGTCGCATAAATCATCGAAATGAACGAGAGGTAGTGTCATGACATCACAAAAAGTTTACTTTACATTTCGTGGCACTTCATCATTCTTGAAAAAATCTTTTTCTTACAGGAAGGCAGCAGCACACATTTACTGGAGTATGATGCAGCTGTACTAGCCCGAAATCACTATGCTTATTCACCTAATGAGAAGAATGTGCTATTCTCAATTGTTGCCGTTGGAGCTATGGTGGCTGTATATCCGGTGATGTGGTTGATTCAAGTAAGTATAGTTAAAACCCTGATGCAGATAATGCGCAGGCCGCGACCACTGTGGCTGCGGCGCGGCTACGGTCGCTGCTAAAATTCCACATTTTCTTGTCATACATCAGTCATCGTCGAAACAGGTGCAGCTTATCGTTAGGCATCAATGAAAAATAATGAATTATGTAACACATGCGTTATCATGCATTTGCACTTTAGTGGCGGGAGAACTCAATTTCTGATTTTTGATAGCAATGAACTTTTCTTTGAGCTGAACAATTGTGAAAGTGATTCTCGATTGTGGGTAAATAACGGTCAGCCCCCAACCGCATCAATATGCTAGTTCTATATCGATATTTGTTACAGTATTTAATAGGATTTGCAATTTTAAGTAGGTTCACTGAATTTTATGAAATGTCGTTTAAAACGAAAATCAATAAAAATCATATGCTGAGAAAGTCATAGCCACTATTACTTTGAAGGAACTCGTAGTAAATGATTTCGTAGTAATTTCTGATGAAAAAATAATATTTATAGCATCATATTATATTCACTTGGTAGTCCTTTTATCGTTTACAGAATGGAAGGGAAGATTTTTTGATCAAAGCAACTTCCAATAAGCGAACTCGACCAAGACTCTACAACCAAGGCAAAATCTGGAGCATAATACATATTTTTGTGAAAAGGGGAGCTAGAAAAGGAGAGTTTTGGGAATCCACTGAAAAATTAACAGTAGAACCCTTTTGGACCGCTGTATGCCTGAAAATGAATAGAAAGGAAATTAGCATTGATATCAATAGTGATATTGCAGCTTACACATTCTCTACTAGCTGGCTTACCCGGCTCCGCCGTATCCGGACCAAACTTGGCACACATACACTTCGGGCCCCGGCGGGTGTCACAGTCCACTTTTCATTATCGATCGATGTCGATTTTACCGATTTATCGATTTTTTGGCAGAGTTCACCTACAGGGCTAGGAGTTGGCACAGGGGGGAAGTGAGCATGGGGATTCCGAATACAATATTAGTTTTCAGAATTATCGATTGCTTTTATTGATTTTATCGATTTTTTGTAAATTTTGACATGCGAGGCTGGGATTTTGCACAGGGGGGTAATCGAGCATGCTGATCACGAACACAATATTAGTTTTCAGGATCGTCCATTACTTTTATCGATTTTATCGGTTTTTTTGCAAAGTTTGACCTGCGGGGCTGGGAGTTTGCACAGAGGGTAATCGAGCATGCAGATTACGAATACAATATTAGTTTTCAAGATCGTCCATTACTTTCATCGATTTTATCGATTTTTTGAAAATTTGAGCTAGGGGGCTGGAATTTGGCACAGGGGTGTTCGAGCATGCTGATCACCCCCCTTGGGGATGATCAGCATGCTCGATTACCCCCCTGTGCGAACTCCCAGCCCCCTAGCTCAAACTTTGCAAAAAAATCGATAAAATCGATAAAAGTAATCGATAATCCTGAAAACCAATATTGTATTCGGAATCCCCATACTCGATTACCCCCCTGTGCCAACTCCCAGCCCCGTAGGTGAACTCAGCAAAAAAATCGATAAAAATCGATAAAATCGATATCGATCGATGACGAAAAGTAGCCTATGACACCCGCCGGGGCCCGTAGTGTATGTGTGCCAAGTTTGGTCCGGATCGGTTCAGAAATGGAATTTTCTATTCGGAACATACGTACAGACAGACATACATACATACAGACAGACAGACAGACAGACATACATACATACATACAAACAGACATTCAGCTTTATATATAAGATGGTAATGGCGGTTCCAGAATTGTTTCAAGGGGGGGGGGTTGACGGAGTTTTTTTCAAATGGGAAGTCGTAACGTCAGCCACTTCTCTCATTTTCTGAAATGTTTTCCAGAATTTTAGCGCATATACCCACAAAATTTTAGAAAAAAAGGTGTGGCGACACGAAGACTCGAAAAACTAGTCCAATAATCTCAAAATTTCCAAAAATTATCTGAGTCGTTTACAAGTGAAAACAAGTCACTTGTCCCTCCACCCTCGAACTGTCACTGCTGTGGGTTTGAAAAGCGGTAGAGGACTGATAACATTATCATAGCGACTGACCGGGAGGAAGGGGCGCCCCTATGTGTGAAAATGGATCGCGAAATCAAATATTTACGCGGTTGATAATAATGTGCTAATTGGTCTTTTCTAGCCAAATCAGTCACTGAAATCTTAGTCTGAATAGCTTATTATAGAAAAATCTTCTTCTAATTCCGATAATAGGCCATAACAGATTTTATAGGCTATCGAAAAAGAATGCCAAGTGTTTGTCATTAGACTAGACTCGAGAAGAATTTCTGCCTTCCCCACCCCTACCCCTCACCCCTTTTAGAGAAATGTGGAATTATCATCCTTTAGCTATTTCAAAGTTTTCCACACTCCACACCTTGCTGAAAATCTGTTGCTCAAAACAATATCATTATATCCAATCAAGATAGAAGTACAGCGCATCTGGCCGAAATCTCTTTTTGTTCAGAGATTCGGTTCTCGAACTGTGGTGAGCTGCTTCGGGTACTTCTCTGCGCTATGCACGGCTCTCACTCCACTTTGTGCACATCTGGGTTTCTACTGGATGGTCGTGATGCGATTTTTACAGGTATGAATTGAAAATTTTGCAAATATCGTAATGGTGTGTCTTACTATTGTGTGTTTTTGAGTCGTTATACAATTAATCCGTTTTTCTCTGCAATTTTATGCTTAGAATTCTACGAGAAATAGTTAAGGGAACTGGCCTTTCTACTGGATTCACTCTTATCGGTATAGTTACCCGACAGTGGTCAATGCAGAAGCAGAGTGCATTTTACATTGCATTTTTGACGTGCTTCTTCCAGGTGATATTTCATTGAATTCGAAGCATGATCATTTTCAAAAATTGATATTTATAGATTGCTCCCATATTTACAATGCCAGTTGCTGGTGAGCTTTGCACTTCATCTCTTGGATGGCCTTGGGTGTACTACTTACATGCTATCATTACTGTCATCTTATTTATGTTATTCCACTATTTTTACAGGTAAGATAAAATTTTCTGTAATATGCAGAATTATCTATAAATGGCGTGTGATTATAGGGAGCAACCCGATTGTCATTCGTTTGTATCCGTGAAAGAGTTGGATCGAATTAAGCGCGGAAAAGGAGATACATCGAAGAGAGAGCCAGTACCAGTAAAGGTTGGTAGGAAACATATTCTGAATATGGTGCTAATTTTGGGTACCAGTTGTTTTTGAGAAGGATGACATATTAACCAGACCGTTGCCCAGTCTATGCTGTATGTAACTTACTTACCAATTTAACAGATTAACGACCGCTTCAATGGCTACCGCGCGGGACCTTTGACACACATGTGTGTAAAGGCTTGAATTTCTTGAAATAATGACTTTCCCGAGACTTATCGCTCCAGGAGTATCTCTTTGAGATGGCTATAGAAGCAACCTCAGTCTTTTTTTTTTGTCAGCCTCTCAAAGCTACTGTAGGTAGAGTGTAGAGGGCAGTATGCGGGATTTTATTTGAGAAATGCTGACTGGTTCAGTAAGGCCTTGGTCCCAAAAGGCGGACGGCTGGTTGTCGTCAGTTAAACAGTCCAGTGTCTCTCCGTGCTACAGTACTCATATGAGATTGGTCCGCTTGAAAAGACTACGGTCTGGTCAAAACTTTAGGTTTGAATTTCTCGCCCAAGAATAAGTAATGTGATCTATCACTTGGGTAGTATGAATATAAGATGTCCGGGAGTTCAAGTTTCTTTGATTAATGCCTTTGAGTTGTGCTATTCACGACCAAGTTCAGAATCTCTCAGTTTTTTATCCTCATTTTTTTAGCTCTCGATTTTTAATTTTTTTCGTCATTGAGAAATTAAGTCAGCCATAAAATAGAGTGATATTTTCTTAATATCCTATATCTCAGAGTATTATTTTTAGAGTATTATTTTTCCAATATTTTCGAATAGCTTCTTTGATATTCATAATTTTTTGAGTGAAAAACAAGTTTGACTGATCAAACGGGGGGGGGGGGGGGGAGCGGGGAGAGGAGGGGGGAGGGAAGGAGTAAAGATTCTGGTTGGATTTTGCAGCACCACATAAATTCTCATCGTCGCACTGACACCCTTTTCCTATGTGAATAAGAAAACAAACAGAAGGTTCGGAAAAAAGAGTGGGTAACAAAATTAGGTTTTAAGATCCAATATTTTTTTAACCATTTTTAGGCGATTATAACTACCAATGCAATTATTGCCGTTTGGATAACTGCACTGGGCAACTTCATGGGTATTCAAGTCACAATGCAATTCTCACCTACATATCTCAACAAGGTAATCGATATATCGATTTTCGATAAATTTATATCTACGATAACATGCGCATGCAACAACTTGCTAACTTTAGGTCATGGGTTTTCCAGTGGAACAGACGGGTATTTTCAGTGCGATCCCACAGGTAAGCAAATCCATCCGTGAGAAAAGCATCCACTTTACATCTTCTGAAAATTCATATTTAGATTATGACGTTTGTGCTGAAAATGTTTGCTGGTGTGCTTGCAGACAAAGCAACATGTTGTCGACCTGTGACATCTGTCAAAATTTTCAATATGATTGGCATTGGTGGCATGGGAATAGCATTCTTTGTGCTCGCATTTATACCTACGTAAGTTTTGAAGCATCAGAAGTAGCGCTTATTGGTGGCTTAAAAGATATTTCTTGAGAAATGGGGGGAAGGAGGGGAGAGGGAATTTTCTTGGATAAATTTCAGCGTTAGTAGAGCCCCGAAAATCATTTCAGAAAATTCGACAGCTAGTGAGAGCGAGTTTTATAAAGTCGGTGTGGGTTATTACGTGAAAATATTTTTTCTAGATAAACTATGATATCTAAAATTTTCGCAAACCATTAAGAACTAATTTTGAAGATATTCTATCTATTGAGTATTATCATGAAGATCGTTTCCATAAACTTTGCGATATGAAACGCGAAAGTGACTTGTTTCAAGATTGGGATCTTTCAAATGTTTCAAAATCTGATTTAGCTTCGTCAAAAATTATTTTTTTGCGCTTTTTTGGAGCACATGCCAAGGCTACTCCCCATCATTCGAAAATTGTCCTCAAAATGAAAAAAAAATTGGGACCTCCACTGGAGTTTGTTTTATTGGACACCATAATAATCATATTTGAAACAAAGCATTTTTTTTTTAGATCTATGCCTGTTTTTGGTCTCGTAGTGCTCATCTTCTGCTGTTCGATCGTCGGCTTCAACTGTGGTGCATTTTTCAGAAGTTCAGCTATCGTTGCCGCGTATGTTGCTATTTTTGCTTTAAAAAAAACGTACTTGTTCATGCAGAAAATATCAAAGGCTCCTCTTGATTCTGAGATCAAATTAAATTTTTGCAGGCAACACAATCACTTCGTCATGGGTGTGAACTCGTTTATCAACTGCTTGTCGGCTCTTCTAGCACCCGTGGTCGTAAATATTTTCGTACGCAATGACACTTGGGATGAGTGGTGGTCAGTTTTAACTTTCATCTGCTTTCACAGCATCCGGTAGCATAATCTTTTAAGAGATGGTCAATATTTTTCAATAATAAAAATTAAAAGCTTTTTGGAAACACTTATTTGGCGCCGTCTTAGCCACACCGGTTATATTTTATACATAATCTATGTTTCAAATAAAATTCTGCAACATCGCATATCTAGCGGTTGCCGCGCCTGCGGTCTTGACATCATTTGCGTGAAAAAATGGCCATAGAGCGAACATTTTGACTGCTGTGCGCTCTAATGCCATCCTCCACGCGCAAGTGCTACAACACATGGATACGATAATGACACTCAAATGGACAATAAGGGTCCTTATAAGAGTTGACGACTTGGGCGCAGGAGTGGGTGGGGCTTAGAGTCACATATAATCGCCTTCAACATGCCCCTTTATTTTCCATGTTCTCGTAGTCATCGATCTTACTATTATAATCTCTCAACTATGCAAAAAATCATATTTCAGGTGGGTCTGGATCGTTCATGGTATAATCATGACAGTATGCAACATCTACTTCGTAATTTTCGGCAAAGGTGAACCAGCTGAATGGACGAAACCCGGTTTTGGCAGGGTACATCCCAGCGCTCCAGCTCTTGGCACCCCGCCAAGATCTCATCCGAGAGATGGGCGTTTTTCCCTGCGTTTGAACGATAAGGTATGAGTTTGTCTTTTTTGAATGATTTTTGTGAGTTATTCGAACTCAGATCTCCGTCTCTGTCCAAACAATTGGTGTGGAACGCTGTGACACTTGCCGTATCAATCCGCGCTCCCTGGACAATTGTGACGACAAAGCTGACATATCGCCAATTTTACCACCAAGACGAAAAGTTCGACAACCGATTGAATTCGAGAAATATCTAAATGCTGAGACAGAAAAGGTTCACATATCACCCAAGGAAAATTTACGCAAGATCATCATCCCAGAGGAGCAAGTGGATGATGTATAGCTCGTCCAATGATCCGACCGCTTCCTCTAGCCTTTTTTCGTACATTTTTGCTTTTGAAAATCTATCATTGCTGTGTTTACCTCGAATGGCTCACAAACGCCGTTTATAGTCAAGTCAGTGACGCAGACAATGCGCTGCCGCCGCGCTAACTGTCTGCGCATCTCCGCTCTACACTGTCTTCCTAGGCTCAAAGGCGTTAGGACCGCGCTGCCTTTCGGGCACGATTTCGGCACTCAAGTCAGCTTCCAACTCCTAGCATATTTAGAACTTTTCATTTGCAAAACTAGCAATTTTTTCGATTTGACCTAGAAAAAATCTCTTCTACACATAAACCATGATAGGGTCCTGTTACGAGTTCTTTTCCTATCTCATCCCCAATTTGTTACGTCCAACTTTTTTTCTAATTTTTTTTTCTCTCTCTCTCTCTCTCTCTCTCTCTGTTTCTTTCAACGCGGTTTATTTGCAATAATGCAAAACCGTTGAAAATTAAAGTAATATTGTTGACAATCTCTAAATTGTTCATTTCTCTATCATATATTGTGCATGTTCTGCAGCTGCAGACATTTTTTGGCTTTTACATCAGACGTACCATTTATATTTGACTAGAAAACACGCGAACGCTGAACACATGCGTGCAACAGGTCAGAACATGTGATTTACCTCATTTTCAAGGCTCTACCTACTGTTAATAGAAGCAGAAACAAGTTGGAACCTGTAGAACAACGTTTGCACAGAATGTCGAGTTTCTTAATCTCTGAATGGATAATAGTTCGGACGAGTTATCGAGAGATAGATAGACGAAAATAGCGCTCTAAGCCAAGTCTAAAGTCTGCAAATGCAAGACATGCACTTTGCGAGAGGCTAATGTGATATATCATCTTAACTGAAGTGCAAAATGCGGTCAGCCCTCTGCCTCAATCCCTTATCCTCAGCTCTCATATCTCAAATTTCTCTTTGCATTAGCGTCAGGATTTCCTCAAACTCTTCGCATTCAGTCCATTTTTGCAGATCTTGTACATAACAGAATTTTGAGAATTTGTGAACTATTTTTCGTGCTCTGTTCTCACTATGGTTCTGAATTGTACATAGTTATTGATAAAACGATTTTCAAGTGTTTTACATTATTTATTACACAGCATTTGCTGGAAGCGTGAGAGCTTCCATCATTCCGATAAAAAAATTTGCGGGGTGCGGATGTTTTCCTCCATCTGCAAATCAACGAAGCGCTGACCGTTGACCGAACCAAGCCGGAGACGGCCGTGCTTGTCGCAGATGAGTTGCCGAAGCTCCCTCTCGTAATTGAATCATTTCGGCACTCGTCCACTAAAAAACCCTCATCGTACTTAGAGCGCCATTTGCGGAAGTGCGCACTGCGCGTTAGAGCGGAAACAGCCCCTACGGGCGCATGGCTAACGACCATCATCGGGTTATTTTGTCCACATTTGCCTAGAGTGCACCCAGTTACAATAGTTTTGCCTCTACCTTTCCAATTCTATATATCATTCATTCTTTGAGAGAGACGCGATACGCTTTGCGTACGTTTGATCAACAAGTTCATGAATGAGTTCAAACGCGTTTTGATTAATACTATCAGGAATTCGTGAAAGAACGTGTTCAAGCCAGGCTCAAGCATGTTATACCACGAATTTAATAGTAAATCAACCAAAAGGCGTTAAAACTCATTCACGAACTTGTTAATAAAATGTACGTAAAGCGTGCTCGCGTCTCCAAGTGAGAGAATAAATGATACTCTTTTGACTGAAAGTTGGTTTCATTTCCTAATCAAATCTGCCTTTCAAAGTCAGCTAATCGCAAATTTCCGTTCATAGTAACGTCATTTGTAAAGTTGACACGCGAGCCTGCAGATCGCGCGCGGCACCTCACGACTACTTGTTAATATCAGTCAGAAAGAACGTTTTGATGGAGTAATTTGTTGAGAATTAATTATTTTTATTTATATTTCAGCTTAAATCGACGAATTCCCTATTCGAGAATTAATGTATTAGTAGTACCTTTTACGTTTGTTTTAGTTCTAACACTGTTTATTTTTCTTTGAACCTGCTACTTACTAACTTGTTGTTGTAGTGCGCCTTTGGCGTAATAAGTGAAATAAATGAATGTTTTCCAATTCAAGCTCAAGAAGAAAATAAGACAATGAGAAGCGTTTGAAGCTGACGTCAGGCGCCTACGTCGTGAAATACCGCGCGTTTTGTGCACGGTGATTTGTAATTCGTTACATGACTGTAACCGAGTTGAGTGTATGTATGTGCATGTGCATATAAAGCATCAAAAGAACACTTTTCTCCCTGTTCTTGAAACTTTGCACTCCGCTAAGAACATCGGGAGTACATTTATTGCTTCTTGCACTGTCGGTGACAACTGCATGATTGATGAATGTCACATGTATAGCACTTGCACTTGCTTGAAGCATCTGTGCTCACATAAGATTAGCCTTTTCGACTTATTATTATATACGAGTGACAAACGCAGACAATTGACAAGTCGCGACAAGTACAGCAACGCGGTCGCGGTCCGCGCATTTCCTCTGCGCGTGCTCTCTCTGCAATTTTCATGTTGGCTATACCATCTAAATCGAAGGATCGACGTTTTAGATACTAAGTAGTGCATAGTTTGTAGATTCGGGGGCTGATATAGTGACTCTGCGGACTACAACACTTGCGCGTACAAAAAGATCACAGAGTTTTTTTCCAAATGTTTCTCTATTTTCCTCGTTTTAGCGCAATTGTAGTCGCCAGTCCAAGAACGCTACATCAATCGTCAAACTTACCAGATAGGGTGTAAATGCAGGTCAAAGTTCCATAGAATTGCAAATGGATGTTGATGATACGTTTCAACAGATAATAAAAACTCTCTTATTAGGGGAAGGGACAAAATGAATTTCCAAAAACTTTTATTTATTGTTTCAAGTATCAACTTGAACTGTAGTAACTTTTATCAAGTATTTCTATGTCCAAATATTTCGTAAAATCATAGAATTTATGTGCTCGAAGTCCTTCCCTCAAACGATATTATTCTGTTGTGTAACACGTTTAACCCTATATGTTGCTAAAAAAGGAGAAATCGCACATCGTTTTCCAAAAGCTCCGAATAATCTTCTTACGTTTTTGTACGTGCTCTTTCAGATTGTCAAGGAAGTTCGACCACATGCTGACTTTTTAGCTGTAGTATGTATACTTTTTAATGGCTTTTTATCCTGTCGTCTGATGATTTTTGTCATGAAGTAAGCAGAACGCAATCGACCGCATTTCTGAATCTAACAAAATGCTCTGCCGCTTCGACTTTTAGATACCTTTACGAAAACTTCATCGAAATGACCAGAATCAGAATTATCTATCTAAGATAATTCTAGTACCTCAAATTCCAAAGTAAATGGAATACTTCTCCACGAAATCTTGATCATGGCAAATTTCTACATATTCGCTTTTTTATGGTACGGAGAAGGAAAAAACATTTGAGGGAAATCTCCAGAATTGTTTTGATTGACTGATCTTTTTCGTTTTCATTCAATGGCCTGTATCCGTATCTCACTCTTAAACCAATTTTTAGTTGTATTTTTAGGGTTTTTCGTCATGTAAGTTTGTTTGTAAACAACTTCGTTCCTGATCTTTTCCGAATACATAGTTTGGGAGTAAAAGGGTAAGTAAGGTAAAAGCCTTTTACACGAAAGACTGGAGATACTATGGGTATAAAAATACGCATAAAATATAATTTTATGCAGGAGAAACTTGCAAAACGCAATTTAAAGTCCTAAAGAATTAAAACTAGGATAAAAAGTTGCCAAAAGCCGTGCATTTTCATACTAGATCGAAAAGTATCTGAAAATTCTAGAGTCAAAAAGTATGAATATTCATCCCATGGCCATGGAAAAGAATTAGCGCCATATTGAAACAGTTTTTCTCCATTATGTGTCACTTTTGCCACGTACGATATTAGATTGACGCAAAGTTTTGTCCTATTTTCTGAAATTCAATGATTCTATACATTTCTAACTCATTTTCATTCTTGAGATCTGTTTACCTTCAAGATCTTGACAATTACAATTTCTTTGAATTGAAATGATAATAGAAGGGTGTGTTCGGCAAAGAATATTTCCTACAATTGAAAGGTTGATTTATGTCAGAACAATTCTCAAATTTTCTGGAATAAAATCTGAGCACCATAGCTGCCAATTTATCGATATTCTCGTTCGTTGGTTGTTGAAAATTTTTTATAAATTTATAGCTGCCAATTTGATTTATCGCTCGCTGAAAGTCGCTTAAGAATTCATAAACTCTAATTTTACTGCATATGTCTAAATCAGCGGTAAAGACGAGATCTTTTCAAAGAGCTGTTTTAGAATTTTCACAAAGGTTTGCAAGAGGTGCTTAAAAATCCAGGTGCCTTTGTTTCTTTCTATTAGCAGTATCGCAGAATTGACTTCCTTTGAAAAAGTTGTCTGGGAATCCACCGTTCGCATTGTTTTTTGTATCAAATGAATCATGATCGTGCACATCAGCTGAGATTAAAATGGTTTATTGATGCAAATGAAGCAAAACAATATGACAAGCAGATATTTTGAAAGCATGTTTATTTCCAGCATATGCGGCTGGAAACGAATTTTACGCTGTTAACAGTAACGGACAGTAAATCTTATCAATTGTTGTGAATAGTTCTTCTTCCTCAAAAGAAAGATGCAGTTAATCTTGAAAGTATATAAGAAGCGTACGGAATATCAAAACTGCAGACCTCTATGGGTCATAAAAGCATGCGATATAATCTTGCGTAAGGTCTAGTAGCCAAAACCTGTCTTCCTGCGTAACGTTTGGTTAGTGGCTTAGTCATCGTCGTACTTCTTTTTTGTCTTCTATGGCGTTATGGCGAATTTCAAGAATAGCATCATAGTTTTAAAAGATTTTGCTTGTTTACTTTCAAAAATTTCTTGCTCATCGATTTTCCTTCCCACCGGAACTAGGTTTGCTAAGATTTTGAATTTTGGACTTGTCTGGTTTGTCAACATGTCGAGCCGCAATCGCGCTGTTTTTATCAGAGCGCATTAGCTTGCACAAACAATCTACAATTTCAGCAAAAGTTTTTCTAGCTTGATCTCCAAAACCTCGCTAGACCTCTGCCGTCCTTCTGCATCCGATCAGCTGGTGGCCTTAACTTTCTGATATTCTCACCATTCGTCATCGCTGTGATTGTCATCGTTTACTCAGCAACATCGCTACATTGACGTCTGCTCACAAAATGTTCACTTCTTGCCTGTTAGTAGTAGGCTTAGCCACTGCTTATGCTGCTGAAAGTATACCACGTAAGTGTTTGAGTAAAGCCTTAGTAGATTTGGCGGTTACTACTGTGTTTCTGCGTCTAAGACAACATTTGCGCGTAACCTGTAGTAGTGTATAGTCTGTATCAGTGCTCGCTTTCCGTCAGCTTACGCGCAACGCTAGAGCTCCGTGCCACGTTCGCGGACGCACTGCTCCAAAGTTCAAACTTGCTGCATCGATTGAAGATCGCTGCGCAATGCCCACGCGCTGCGGATGCACAGTTTGCTACGAAGGGGGAGCGCGTAGTTGACACAGACTGTACGTGCTATGGTCATTTTATACGGGCAAGTTGCAGGCAACTTGATGGCATATGTTTCCGCGCAAATGTTGTCGTTGCCGCAAGGGCGCGATATTGATCGTCAAATCTAATAGACACAACCAGTCTCAAATGAACAATATGGATAACTCCTGATTTTAGCTTTCAACATTCAAAATTATGAACTCGTGGAAATGTCGAAGAAATTGCGAGATGCTGATGACAACAAAGCCCAGCCTGGTCAGATTTACATCAGTTATCAAGCACACACTACCACAAGAAATGATGAAGATAACGCTAGACGAGAGTAAGTCGCATCAGCACCTTTTATAATACTTTGTTTCAGTAAAATAGAGTTCCAGCTTTTTTACAAAAGTGGATCCAGCACTGCTCAGAAAGACAAGCTACAACCAGTTTATCGCTTTGACAAACAATTTCGCTAGGGACACCGGCATTTCCGAGCCAAGAGTTTCAGTGGCGGAGGCAAGATTTTTACCTTGCATTCTCTAACTTCCTACTTCTTCGTGGTATCTGCAAAGAAGAAATGAAAGGGATGACAGGAACAATCTCGAGTAGCACTTATTGGAGCGTTCTGATTATTATATTTGCTTTGGGCAGATTTACTTTTCTAGTCAGTGAAAAAGCGATTTGTAGTTTGAAAAGAAGTGAAGTATAGAATGATATCACCTGTAGTTTGAATCAGTTATTCCAAAAAGGAAGCTTTGCTCAGTTCTCAAACATGATATGCGTATTTTTCAAATGTTTAACCTTTAAAAAATACGTTGAGCACAATTTGCTGACATACAAAGTGTTCAATGCACTTCAAATTCGACATAACCTTCGAGTAGAATGAGTGTATTAGAATGAGATTAGGAAAAAGTTGTTTAAAATCAAAAAAATTCAAAATTGTAATAAAAATAATAATAATTTTAATGAATAACTTAAGTTAAATTTTAATAATAATAGTAATTTTAATAATACTATAATAAAATTTTAAAACAGGTTATAAAAAAATTTGTTCGCGGAATCCCGCTCCCTTCCTTTCCGAGCCCATGTGAATCCTCTCATCAGTGAAGGCCTTAAAAACATTTGTGGGGGAAGACAAAGTTTTGAACGGAAAGACAAGTAGTAGCTCAAGAGAATTTCAAGGTTACGCAAGTTTACAGGTAACGGCCCCGTTTCAAAAATTGTTTTTTGAAAATTCGATCAAATTCTTTACAGAGTTATAGAGCAAAACACTGAACATGTAGAGGAAGCAAAAATATGAAATTCAAGAAACTGAAACTTGTAGGCAGGTGAATTTGGTTAAGGGCGACCTGACTGGCTGATTTTTCTCCGCACTACAAAGATTTATATTTTATACAAAAGTCTGACCAGCACACGGCAGGAGCTGACACCAGTGAAATTTTAAAATGAAGTCCCCTTGACTTTTGCAAAATTTTACGAAGTCCTCTTTGTTCCTAAAAACCCCTCGAAAAACGAAACGTCGAAAATTTCGTGTCTATTCGGCCACAAAAACGACATCCCCTTTACTTTCTGTCCCAAAAGCGATATCCAGCTTGACCCGCCAGCTGGGCCGAGCCCGTTTGACAGCATTCATAACATAGACTAAACTCAATTAGGCTAGCCATACAGAAAGTATAGAGACAAGAGCTATCAACTGACACTTCAAATACTCTTTTCAGGAGAAGAGAGAGACATCTACATTTTTGACCACCATACTTGAATCAAAGCCATGGAAAGTCCTCTATGCCTTCCTGCGCAAGAAAAGTTTGTGCATAGCTGTACAACACTTCAAAATGCAAATGTTCACATCGTTCAGACCATCCATTTGCAAAAGATCCAATAACATTCCGTTACTGGATGGCACAATTGTGGTTCGTTCATTATTCACGCGCTCGAGGCAGAGCCGATACCTCAGGCTTCGAGCATGTTTTTATTGGAGAGGTAAGTAATTTTTGCAATTTTTCACGAATCCCAGCTTCTTCCAAGAATTACTCATTTATTCGCGTTTAGGTGAAAAACCATGAAATCACAGGAATGCATAACTGGATCCGCTTTTATCAGCTGGAAAAGAATGAGACTGAAGAATTTGACTACAAAGGATACGTCATAAAACGAGGAGTACGTTGTGATAAAGTCAATCCTTTGAACTTGCGAAAGTCAGACTATTCTTATTTCCAGAATGTGATGGCATCTCTCAAATTCACCTGGAAAGGAGATCTAAAGCGATCTGGATCGTTGCTAATAGGAACGTCTCCCGAATATGATATGGCGTTGTACACGCTGTGCTTCTTATCCCGACGTGGACGTCAGCAGTGCGATGTAAACACTTCTTTTTTATGTAGGCCGATTCGCACTACCGTACTGTTATCCCGACACTTCCGTGCAGGACCGCTGCGCACGCAGCACACTGCACAAGCAGAAGTCTGCGCGACGTGTTTAGACAGATCATGCACTGGATACTGTCGTGCGAAACGGCCATCTCCCATTTGCGTTCAAAAATTCTTTTTGCAAAATTATGATACTGTAGGTTGAGATCGACGGCTGTCCACTCGCTATCACCAGTTTTGACATTGTTCAAAATAATAAGGTACTTGATAAGAAGTTTTGACAACAAAATTGAATGTTGGTTTTTTTCAGGTTTTCATTGGCTCAATCTTCCCCACAGCAGGTCCCATCACTAAAAAGTGCAGAGAATTTGGAGGACGACTGACAATCTAACAGCCCAGAATGTTACAAGAAGTTATGTACAATTTAGATCCAAGTTGCTATTTTGTATGCAAGGAAGCCCATTTGTACTCGTCTTGATATGAGCTTTAATTCGTGTGTTGTTTCCTTCTCCGTGTTGTTGTCGTTTGTGATTTGTCAATAAGAAAATTACATTTTACTTCCATCGGGAACCGAAAACTGGGCGATTTCTCATGTTAGAAACACTAAAGGATGGTATTCGGAAACAAAGAGGAACCGAAGGGTAGACTTAGCTTGAATCATCAGGATATGATGAGGATCGAGTGTAGATTTAACGTCATGTAATCGAAGTGCACGTGCAGGCAAAGGAGGAAAATGCCTTTTCAATTCGACTGCTCAGCAGGGTATAGAAGAGGTAGATAATGCGGCGCGAGCAGGAGAGACTTGCGGGAATATATGGGTTGGCCGTAGAGAATTTCTTCTCAAGAATCGACGGACTACCAAATACTGACTAATCTGTTGGAGGGTCTAAGCGGAGGCATTCTCCAAAGCGAGGTTTAGTTCGTAGTTCTTGTTTCCGTTAATCTAGCCGTTTTTTGCTAATTATTAGGTTGGCTTGAAAATAATTTCTGTCGTTTTTTAACGGTTTGTACAAATGTCACAGATAGATTTGTGTGTAAGTGTATAGAACATTTTGAAAAAAATCAAGGAAAACTGGATAGTCAGCTTCGTTCGCTCAAAGATCATTTTTTGATAACGAAATGGCGCAGAAAAGCAAAAAAGCCAGATTTTTTGTCAAACTTCCAAAAAATCGTGCTCCAAAAACAAACTGAAATCGGGTGTAAGGTGCACAAATGGTATAGTGTAGACCCCGGCCAGGTTCCCATAGGTACTTCCGCAGCGCGCACGCAGCGCGCGCCCTTCTCAGTGCCTCTTGTCTCACTCATGAGCAGTAGAGCATATTTATGCTCACAAAGGAGAAAAATGTAATGTGGAAACCTCTAGGTTCCCCACGTAAGAGAAGTTTGCAAGAATGAAACGTAGGCAAGTTCCATGAATACCTCAAATTCAATCAATGGATGCATGTTCCGAACTTGCACTGATGAGTAGGTTGTAATAGCTATACGTAGAAGAATTAAAGAACAACAGCATTCTTAAAACATTCCTCTTCGTAGACGTAGAAACTAGAGTGGTCAAAGATTCCAAAAAAGTGGATATTTCAGTAAACAAATGCCTACTGGCTTCTCGGAAGGCTCAATTTTACTTAAAATACTGTCTACACCTTACACATCAAACGGAAGGGGACTCTTATTGTATATAGGAAGCTTTTAAAAAAATATTATCTCATATCCAATCAAATCTCAATTTTTTTGGAGAAAAAAGGGAAAACACAAGACTACTACACAAGACTGAAGCTCTTAGAACTGTTAGAGCACGTATAATCTCGTCACCGGTCATCGCGAATTGTTTATACCTGAAATAGAGAGAATGTAGTACACCAAAAACAAAAGAAAGGAAAAAGGGGGATTTCCATCAGAAGCCAGGACAGGAGACGCACTGAAGGCGTGCGTTGCGGGTGCGTCGCGCAGGTACCTGTGGGAAGCTGGCCGGGGTCCACACTATACGCACATCTACGATTTTGATATGTTCAACCATTTGCATGGCCACAGATGGTCAAATTCAAGCGATACAAATTGCCCCAAAACTGACTTCCATGCGCAGATACTCGGAAATTCTCACAATTTTGGCTGCAGAAATACACAAACAACAGATCACAGCCTCCATTGTGGTTTGTCATGTAGCCAAAGGTTGTATGTATTCAGCTACCAAATTGCTCGTCTGTGCATGTACTAAAAACTGAGTACGAAACTTGGAAACCCAAGAAAGTGATTTTTTGGAAGACTAGACATATAAGGTCATAGCTGTTTTTGATCACTTTTAAGAAGTCTATATAACGAGTATGTGATAGCAAAAGCCTGAAACTACCCGCTCACAAAAAATCACAGTCAAAGAATACGTATCTATTTGAGTTTTCATGGAGCTTCGAAGTTGCATGTCAAAACGAAATTATTTATTAGCCAACCTAATAGAAGCAGTCATTCTATGCGTGCTTGCCTTCCACTCAGGCAGTATCTTACCAGATTTGGTCTATAATAGATTTTTACGGATTTTTTTAGGAAATCCCTTTATCAGGTCAATGCCCAAGTTTCACTTGATAAGGCCTCTCTTATATTGAGAAAGGACTTAAAGTGGCGCGCGGAGCGTGTTCCGGCGCGCGCTGGACGACTTGTCAGTTCATCGTTTCAGCACGTCTTTCCAGGCAACGCCATCCTTCTTGACGTGTTCAGCCCTGTGGGCGGTGCTGGGATTAGCGGGACAGTTTGTCCGCGTTGCTTCTAAAGGGCTTCGAAAAGCGGGCTTATTGGGGTCTTTCCATAGAAATTGGGCCCGTGTGGGATTATACAAGGTCGAAAAAGCCTGTGATTTGCGTAAATCTCAAGACCGAAGTTTATTTATTTTTTTATTCATTTATTTATGCATTCAATGATGCGTCTAACGAACGCATTAGTTCGATAAGATTGCCAATTTGCAGTGAATGATAAGACAAAGAATAAGCGCTGGTTTTTCGAAAAATCAAACCATGCTGCAAAATTAAAATAAATATAGCCCACTCTAAATTGGTGTATAGGTATGAGTATAAGTGAAGAAGCATGAATAGTCATGCTGCAACCAAGGTGTGAATAGCCTTTGAGATATCACTCTCAAGCGGAAAAAGAGAACGGCACCAGAGCGAATGGTCTCAATTCCATGCGTGCCCCGGCAGGAATACCTCTTTGAGCTTTCTCTTACATCGCTCCCATGGAAAGAAGGTAGCAGATAATAAGTACATGTGTGTAGTATTATGAATAAGGTCATGAAGACTCTGTGTAAATCAAATTGAAATTCTGGTGAGACACTGCTCAAATCCTCAAACGAATACCGATAGACAACTATTACATACAGTGCTGGCCAAAAGTTTGCAGCCACCCTGAAAAATAGCTTTAATTCACTTCGCATCCTACATAATGAACCCAAATTATAGCAATATGTGCCAATTACTCTACATTGCAATGTATCAGAATATCTTGCGATTTGGTGCACACAAAAGGTAATTTTGAGAAATTGGCCGAAATGAGGTTGGCCAAAACTTGCAGTCACTTTTTGTTAATCGTCATTGTAAAAGATCCTAAACTTCCAATACTTATGCTACGAATGTATCCATAATTGCTGGAATGTGCCCGACAATCAGCTCCACCATTCACAAGAAAGGAGACTCTATGGACCAAAATGGTTTGACCGCAGGTTGACTGTGAAAAGCGAAAAAATCGTCAAGTTGCGGACAAATAATTGACATGTGCAGGCTCTTGTAAAAAAGTTTTACCAATTAGATGTCTGAAATCAATTAGCTTGTATGACAGAAAAAGCATTACTCGGCTTAAGTGCAACCTGATTGTCATTTTTGCTCGGATTTGGCGCATTTTGCAGCTTGGAATTTTGGCGCAGTGATCCGCAAGTAATTCAAACCCAATGACATGATTGTTTTTACAAAGATGAACGTTTGCTCGAAGCTGACAGAGCTCCACAGAAAAGATGAAGCTGTTTTTGCCATAGGAAAGCGGGCATTTTTGCATTCAAAAAACTGTTATGTATTAATAAAATTTGTTAGGTGTGCAAATCGCGCGCGCTTTCCTATGGCAAAATCATTCTTGCGGATCGCTGCGTTAAAATTCCGAGCTGCAAAATGCGCCAAATCCGAGCAAAAATGACAATCAGGTTGCACTTAAGCCGAGTAATGCTTTTTCTGTCACACAAGCTAATTGATTTCAGACACCTAATTGGTAAAACTTTTTTACAAGAGCCTGCACATGTCAATTATTTGTCCGCAACTTGACGATTTTTTCGCTTTTCACAGTCAACCTGCGGTCAAACCATTTTGGTCCATAGAGTCTCCTTTCTTGTAGTATGGTGGAGCTGATTGTCGGGCACATTCCAGCAATTATGGATACATTCGTAGCATAAGTATTGGAAGTTTAGGATCTTTTACAATGACGATTAACAAAAAGTGACTGCAAGTTTTGGCCAACCTCATTTCGGCCAATTTCTCAAAAATACCTTTTGTGTGCACCAAATCGCAAGATATTCTGATACATTGCAATGTAGAGTAAATTGTACATAATACTATAATTTGGGTTCATTATGTAGGATGCGAAGGGAAATACAGCTATTTTTCAGGGTGGCTGTAGACTTTTGGCCAGCACTGTATTAGATGCACCGAAAGGAACTTCGCATTTTTTAAGCGTCAGATCCTTGGGAACGAAGACTTGTAGATGATTTAGGTTGCTTGCGATGCAGTTTCTCATTTTCTTTCAGGCGGTTTTTTTAACATTGTAATCTTCAGATCTGCAAGAATATCCTGGAGTTTGTAACTGACTACCGCTACCGTGCCAAAAACTATTTATTTCTACGGATTTCAAATTCAGACATTCAGTAAAGAATGAGTAGCTCACAAATACAAACCTTACAATAAACGTCGCTTTTCTTTAGGCTTTCGGTTGATCAGTTTCGATCGGAGTCAATTTGGTTTTTATGGTGTCTTCTTGTGTTTTTTCGTGTTTTTCAAGCAATCCTATTTTTTAACACTAAGTCGACCCATGGCTACATGCAAACCTCGACATTTATAAGGAATAAAAATTGACAATATTGCGCAGTATAAGTATGATAGTAATCAAGCGCCGAACACGTGAAACAAGATAAGGACTGAAGTGCAGTCATCTATCATCACAAACCAGCCAATTATTGCAATATGTTATTGCTTTTGAATAAATATGTCTGCAAAGTCGCTGAGAGCTGGTGAAAAAACCTGTGGAAAAATGCTTGAGTACTTTTTCGTTAACTGAACCCATTTCTTTGAAATATTCATCATACTCTGAAATTTTGTGCAGCCGATCTATCATATCAATAACTTTGTGCTGGTCAACTTGAGAGCACAGGTAAAGATCATATTCTAGTGTGTATTTTGATATGAAAAGATGCGAGAGCTTCCGGTAGTAGCGGAAACATTTTTGATCTTCACAAAAATTGTTTATGTTCCTGATAAGACGGCGATTATCTGCACTTTCAGATAGCAATATTTTTGAGAGTAGGATCGACAGCTTTGTGGTACTTTGCTCTGCCGGGTTTCTACCGCAATCACATCCAGGAATGGACTTAGTGACAAATACGCCCATGACAAAAACAAAACACTCAAGTATTTCTTAATTTCATATCTATCAACTTGCTGGAGATCTTACCATACACTAGTATAAAAGACGGTCTAAACTTTGAACATCTGCGAATACGTCAAATCGGAAGCAGGCACAAGCATCGATCATTTAATAAACGTGATAACCGAGGTTGTGAATGTTGAAGTGGTAAGCCCCAGAGCGGACTTAATAGAAGAGATGCGCAGATAGTGATCAAATGATGTGCGATATTGTTTACTAGAAAAGCGATAATTTTAACCTTCACAGAATGTGGAACATAACTCACCTGATTGCATAGTATACGAAAAAGTTGGACGCGATAGAGATGTTTCCCGTTATCCCGATAACCAAACCCAAAGAAAAATTATCGATCGCGATGTTAAAGACATCATTCACAACGATTCCGGATCCAGTTGCAAGCCACCCAAACACGATGAAAAAATTTGTTACGAGCAATGAACGATAGATATCCTTCTTATCTCGATCTTAAAATCCAATTGCACTTTAAGCAAACTATGCAGAACAAAAATAAAAACAAAATGTGCTAAAAGCTAAACTTACTTATGGTCATTCTTCTCACTTTCAGAAGAAAGGCGACATATGTGATTAGAGTAAGTAGACCGATTATGCTTAGTGCGGTCAAATATAGCATAAATAATTGACCATGCATAGCATCCGCTATGCCACAGATGACCTCACTAAATTTCTTTATGTTATATGATTTCTATCGATTATTTTGCTTTTTTAAAGGTTTAATCAGACTACGCCACGGGCAGCAGCGTAAGCAGCGCACGTTATATTACCGCCACTACATGTTTCCACTAAGACTTACTCTTTTCGTTCTTGCTTCATCGAATTGCTATCGTTCACATTCGCCTTCATTCCTTTTATTTGGTGGTGCACTTGGCCCTTAGTAAGCCCCGAAATATGTCGTAATGTGGAAAAAGCGAGGTCACAACGTGTCCGACTGAGGACATGCTGCTCACGACCATGTTTTAGTCGCCGCAAAACTTACTCGCGCAAATGCGATCGAACCCTTGGATGATCGTTTACGGCGCGCACTCTCACTGCGCTACAGATACTATTTAATCTCATGAAATCAAAATTGAAGACTACGACAGAATGCGGCCGATGCAACAGTCGCGCGACATTTTTCGAATAATTCATTTACCAAGCTTTGATTTACATTAGCTTGTATTGTATTTCTAAGTTGTAAAAGTGTGCACTGCCACCGTCATATTCACCATAAAGGCGTATGTTGATGGTGTTCTTACGTAGCAGCGCGGATAGCGCAGCTCCAGTATTGGATGCTGCTAAGTTTGAAGGGAGAGGGGCGCGCAGGGTACGTGTTTCATGTAAGGCAACATCTTGCAAGCTGCTCACTAGATAAGGTTTTGTGTAAACAAACAAAAATTTGTAAGCTCCTCGGCAGTAGAGGAAAAATGACCATCCAAAACAAAAATAGCGGGAATGCACAAGAAAGACTGATATATTGTAAAACAACAATACATGGTTGCTGCAAATATAAGCTATTTCATCAGCCATGAGCGAGACGGTTCTCGCTCAAATCAAAAGGGAAACGGTACACAGCTAATGAAAAGCACACCAGCACATATACGTGATAAATCGCTAAGATAGATGAAATAACGAAATTATGACATGCAGAAAAAAAATTTGGTGAGCAAATGAACTGCATCGAGAGAATAAAAGAAAAATAGCTTAATCACTAGAAAAGCGACTAGATAGATTTCTAACATATTCTGTAATTGAGATTAACTCACCTTTCCAAACTAGAAAGTTTATTGCAGCAGCGAAATGCACAGAAGATGAAGAAAGTCGCTCAGCGCGTTGGCATTTGGACTCTTATCAGCTGTTATCGATTGCATTTGCGCCTTGCTGTGTGTCTACGCCCTTGCGCACAGGACGAACTCGGCGTACTCGATTCCTAGTCGGCTGCGCATTCCTGCGTCTCCACGCTGGGCCCACTATTTTTCGTCTGCCCCTCAAGTGGCGACGTTCGTGACGTGCTCGTTGTCTGTGCACGAGGACGAGCACGTCCTGCAGTCACGACGTCCAGCAATTTCGCCGCACGGCCGTGATAAAAGATAGCCGCCGGACGAATCGCGGCTGAAATGACGCGTACTGGGTACGTGCGATTTCGGATGTCGCGACCATCACGAAGGGGATTACTACGGGCCCTTGTGTTGGGCGTTGTGTCAATGGCTCGTACGCTATCCCAAAGGCAAGAATTGCGGAAATTTGCCACTATTGCACACAAGCTTGGAGATTAGGTCGATTTTTTTCCGAAAAACGTTCCCTTACCACAATATACAATTCGGTCTTGAAGGCAGCTGCCGGCAGAATGACAATGGGATATTCATTCAATCTTGACTTCCTTGGATAAGCTGAGTCTGAATCTGTGCTTTTCAGCTCTTAAAGATATCAATAACTCGCTCTCCTGGACGTGAAAAGTGCTGTTTGGGCGATTCGCAAAAGTGGATGTTGGGGCCAATAATTTAATCGTCGCCGAGATAGGTGCGATGTTTCCACTCACGAGCCAATCGCGCTTTAGAGGGTAGGCTTACGCCGTCAGCCCAAATAGCACTCTTCACTTCTGGGAAAGCGGGTTAGAATATCTTTTGAAGCTGCAAAGCACAGTCTTGGACTTCTTATCTAGGGGTACCGAGATTGATGAATATCCCGAAGTTGTCATTCAGCCGAGCCGCTGCCACGATACTGTTTTGACAACAAACCATAGTTCTAAGTATTATTATCTCAGATTTCCTAAGTAGTTTTTTCGTCTCGTCCAATTATATTACGAATACTAGGATAAATTTTTTTTATTTTGTCGATCAACTTCAAGTGTATCTAAATGAGTTACGATAGTCTGATCATGTCAAAATATTTACTGAACGAGGGTGGACTAATATTTGAATTAGGGCGTTCCATATTACGAATGATTTTCGCCATATCAGAGTCCTTCGTTGGACATGTTACTTTAACAATACTAAATCTTTTACTATAACAAATGGTCCAATATAATAATGGATGATAACATTAAACGAAAACACGAAAAGAGGCCATAGAAAGCTTGAGATTGTAGTAATCATAGATATGTGTTTTTTGTCAAAACAGTATCGCAGGAACTGAGTAGTGCATCGACGGATCACTTGATGTTTGTACGAAGTGTCAGAGTAAATCTAGTCTTGCTCTTGCTGAGGTTGATTTTACCCTGATGAGCCACGTTCGTGAATACGAGTTAATCACTCTCTGGGGTAAGGTTTACCCTCAAGGGTAAAATTACCCCTCAAGGTTCGTTGATCGATACGTGTTGATGCGTCGGCCAAAGCTTTTATATAAAAGTGCAGATAAACTTACTCAGAATTTCGCATTGCCCAAGCGCAACTGACAACAGCCAACATGAGCATGGCAGCTATTCCCAAATGTGAAGCAATATATAGAGTGTAGTGCGTTTTAGTAAGCATATAGCTGAAAAGTAGTTCAATAATTATGTGGCAAATAGGACTCATAATTGTGACTTTTTCGACGATATCTACTTACTAGAACTTTTGCAATGACATTAGTCTGTCGATAGCAACGCTGAATATGATTATGGAGGAGAGGCCTGCGCCAAATGTTGGCAAGAGTTGTAACTGAATGCACACGCTGCGGTTTATTCGCTGATTCGATGAGCTAAAGCAGTCTATCAAAAAACTAAAATGCATGAAAACTTGTTATGAAACGTTAGGAAATGAGCCGAAGATGACTCAAAGAAAAATTCGAAAATATCTAATTGCGAAAACTCACAAATGATAAACTGAAAGCATAATATAATGAGCAAACATATGAAGAACATCGCTTCCAGCAATCAATGCGATGAAGATGTTGCAAGCGCTTCGCAATTTTCTGAAACATTTTCTTTTTTTTTTTTGAAGCAAAAAAATATCATATAAATCATAGTAGGCAACGAAGAAGAAACCTGACCGATGCAATCAAAGCATCTTTCATATCGGAGAACTATACACTCCACAAGGTTAAACATTGCTCAAGTATGTTCTTGTTCTTTAGAAGAAATAGGTGCAATGTCTTTGTTTTTGTCTTGATACGGGAATCCATTATTGGCAATGACAACAAATGAGAAAGAAGAAAACTATGCTTTGTTATTTTTTAGCCGTGAAATTGGTGCAGCTGTGCCTATCCGGAAGATATTCAACCATTATAAGAATACGAATATAAGCAGTTTTCTGTTTAAGGCTCAACAAAGCGGATATGGACGAAAATTATCGTGCTGAATTCAAATAGCTATTTAAAAACAAAGGCTCAGCAATATGGTTTTGACCAAATACGGAACCTAATGAGGTACGCGCACTGTTTGGTCGATGATAACCCGCTTTTTCAATCTTCAAGAACCATTCTGTAGAGCTGGCCTCAACTTAGTTCACGGTATGGAGCGATCCGTCGATCTTTCTTCGTTACTGCAGGATCACGGTAGAAACCTCGAAGAGGGTTTTGAGCATTTAAAATTCGCATTTTGCCTCAGAAAGAAAGGCAAACAAACCAAGAGCTTTTATACTAGGCTAATCAGTCGCTGATTTCAGACATGAAATTTGCACACCATGGTCATGCTTCTCCAATAAGTTATTTCAGGAAAACAGTGACAACTGCTTTTCCAGTGTTTTCCACAAATTTGATTACACCTTTAAAAAGCACAGAAATTTCGTAAAAAGTTGGGTAATGAACTCAGCATGCTTGAGAACCCTGCTGCACAAATTTCCAAATTATCTCAGAATTATTTTCACCAAACGCCCGATTAAAAATGGCGTCGTATGTCGAAAGTCCGTACCGTGAACCTACAAGGAGCAAGGAGAGATCGGAGCGTCCCTTACGGTGTACGGTGTACCGCTCGTAGTTTGTAAAAAACGACCACAGTCGTCTGATTCGTGACACCATCTAGCGGGGCCACATTTCGCTTCAGAGTGGACGAATTTCTAATCCAAGGGCACCAATCGATTCAGCTCGGCACGGCGCATCTTCTTATATATAGAAATTCCCGCTTGAACACAGTAGGAGGCAGGTCTCACGAATCACTTCAGATTTTTTCTTGCGGTAGGTTACTCAGTGTGCATATTTATTGCACTCAAAAAGGGCAACCTACCGTAAGCAAAAACCTCGAACGATATGTGGAATCCGGCCTCCTACTGTGCTAAACAAGCACATCTGAACACCAGAAGATGCGCCACGCCGAGCTAAGCCCCTTGGGATAAGAATTCGTCCACTTTGAAACGAAATATGGCCACGCTATCGTGATGTTACATGAATCGGGCGACCGTATGTATTTTTTTTTCACAAGTTACGAGTGATATTGTATGTTTGAGCAAGCTCTATAGAATGGTACTTGAAGATCGGCGAAAGACATCAAAGCAATTGTGTTTTTAACGATCAAACAGTGTACACCTGATTTTGAGACACTGTGTGTATTACAAGTGGTGAAATAGAAATAACCTTGAAATAATGATTTTACCTCGACCGAATAGTTACATAGACTAAGCAGGAGTTTCCAATTATGCTGATTAGAGGGACAACAATATAGAAGATCTGGAACGATACAGAAATCTCTTCCATTTCGTATTATAGTTTGCTAGCAAGTGTCGCGATACGTCAGTTGAGTGTATAAACCAAAACATGTAGAAGCGAATCATGCGTATGAAACATTGATGTACATAATGGAAAACAAAGACAACGAAGATTCAGAGCGTCATATGCAGTTATCAGCTTTACTTGCACATTCACGCGGAATTGGCAGTACAATGGATAGAATGATTAAAGATGGACTTTTTTTTTCATGTTTATGTCTATCCCGTGATTCTTCTTGAATACTGCCACTATTACGCCTTTGACAATCGTACCGGAGTATGTAGCTTGAATATCAAACAGGGCATAGGGCGAAGGTATCAGGGTAGGGATAGCGGCACTTGTGAGGAATTTGTTGCAGGACACAAGCTATACATAAGGCCAGTGTCGGACCGGAAGAGGAGGCAGTGACCCAGCAGTCTCGTGCCCCCCCCCCCCTCCTCCCCCACAATGGGTCGCGAAATTTTTTAAATTTACTCAAAAGGACCATAAAATGTGCAAGTGACTCCTTTTTGATGTGAAGAATCAAGATAATTTTTAAAACCTTCTAAAAATGTGGATTAGCCTTGTGAAACTTTTTTTCTGCCGCCCTCTTCTTCCAGTTTTCAGAAGTTATGGGCCAGCAAAAATTCTGAGAAGCACCCAAAAAAGCTTTCGGAGTGCGTGGTCAACGCCAGCATCTTGATTTGAAAAAAAAATTTTTCCGCTTCCCCTTCCCGGACGAAACTGGGACCGCCACTGATGACCACATATTTATCATCAATCGCAGACACGAAAAGCTTCTGGATAGCTTTCGTTCACTTTCATAGTTTCTCACGAAATTACATAGTAATTCAATCAACTTAGTCGCTTGAGGCAGTGAATACGACTTGGGAATTTTACAAAAACGCTGCGACTTTCAGGAGAGAAGAAACGCATCTACGACCAATTCCTCATGCCTCTTGATAAATATCCTTTAAATAAATTGTGCATTAACAACAGAGTTATGCAAAATATTAGCATTGATATTTTGGCCTCCATCGTTTACGTACAGTAAGCATAACAAAAGAACTCCAAAAGCACAAGAGAATCTTTTTCGTGATTATTAGGGTGTCCCATAATTTTTTACCGTTTTACTATAAGCGTTGTCTCTTTGTATTTGCCGTTCAACTGATATGGCTTGAGTAATCATTTGACAGGTCAAAGCAAGCTCTACAATATGGCAAAGAATCTGCCCAAATCGTAATTCACCGGAAGTTTTGAGCTGAAATTTGTTAACAGTCAAAAGCGATCTTTTCCTTCAAAAATCGTGTCTCCGCCCCAAAATGTCTCAAAAATTCCCCATTTATCCTAGCGTATTCATGACACATCGCACTTTCGATTATCCTATTTCCTATTTTTCCATGGCTAGAAATAAAGAAAAAATTATTGGGTTAAAATGGCAAACTTTGCTCCCACGCACTCATCATATAGCTTATACATACAGAAACAAGATCATGTATTTGTAAACTTTGAAGAGACCCCAGTTCTCGAGAAATGCTGGTAGAAACGATAAAAACTTATGGGACGATGGTGATTGTAAGATGGTCTCTTTCGAGCAAGCTGACTTTGTCTCAAAGAAGAGTTAACTACTTCTTTTCAATTAGAACAAACTATCACTTCTTTGCGCACGCCAGGAATCCCACTCTAAATAAGCTCCAAACTATGGAATTTAGAGCAAACCTCTCGTTTGTCCCATTCCTCGCTTTCAATATCTCAGACCAAGGAAGAAAAATTAGGTTCAAATCACTTTTAAGAGTATTACGAGGATTTGGCTATCGAACATACTTGTTCTTGTCGCCTCCCCTCGCTATCTGTAGTAGCGCAGACTTGGCATGCTAACATAACCCAATATTTTCGCAGTAATTTCCATTTGCGGAAAAAACGACTAGGTATATTTTGTACTAAAGGAAAGATTTCACGTGAAATTCCTACTATGTGAAGAAGGTTGAGCAGTAGCAACAATTTAAAAAACGCAGGTATTTTAATGGTGTGATGGTAAGTTAATGGGGTGTGGCACAACCCCTAAAAAGCTGTTTCGGCCACAGCTATTTAGGGGTTGTGCCACACCCCAGTAATTCACCTACAAAGGGAATATTAGCGAACATTTCATAAAGTCGACAGCCAAAATTCCTTAGTTTTTTCAGGGTTAATTTGGGCCTAATTCGTCTTCTTTGCTTTGAGTAAAAGTTGTTGAAAGCGCAGCCAAGGAGAGCGAAAAATGGAACAAACGAGGTTTTGGCCTGCTTCTGATTCCATAGTTCGATGGTCATTTGAGGCAAGATTTATTATATGGGTATTTAGGATAGAGGAGGATTTGGATTCTTCGGGGAGGAGGATTCTGAGATTTTAAGGTAAAAATTCAATGATTTGACTAAGGTAAAAACAGGTGTTGAGGTCTTTTCGACGCTGAAAGGAGTAATGACTGGATGAAGACAGATTGAAGCTATTTGTTGCATAAAACGCCCTGGTAATAATCATGACCCATTTGAGCTCAACAGTAGCTATGAATAATTTTATTGTAGCGGCGCTTTCACATTTTTCATAAAAATTTCCATAACTCTCCCAAAGCGCTTTGCAGTTACCGAAAGCAGGTTTGTTAGCCCTTCATACTCTATAAGATAGTGTACATGTATAGAAACTTTCGACCTAGTATCCTTCTCCTCTTAGTGACAAAACGACCATCACAAAACTTGTAGCTCACTCAAGTATTTCTCAGTTTTAGATTTATCACCTTGCTGAAAAGCCTGGCATACACTAGTATAAAAACGCCTGAAAAATTTACAAATACGTCAAGTCGAAAGCAGGCAGGGCACCGATCATTCAATGACCGTAATAACCGAGGTTTTGAACGTTGCACTGGTAAGTCCCAAAGCGCACTTAATAGAAGAGATGCGCAGATAGTGTTCAAATGATGTACGATATCGTTTACTAGAAAAACGATAACTTTTACCTTCGCAGAATGTGGAACACAACTCACCTGATTGTATAGTATACGAGAAAATTAGACGCGACGGAGATGTTTGCAATTATCCCGACAACCAAACCCAAAGTGAAGTTGTCGATTGCGATGTGAAAGACATTATTTAATATGATTCCTGATCCAGTTGCAGGCCATCCAAATACAATGATAAAATTAGTTACGAGCAATGAACGATAGATATCCTTCATGTCTTGATCTCAAATCATTCTGATTACTTTACTCATGCTGCAGGATAGGAACAAAAGAGTACTAAGGGCTGCATGCACTAACATCCCTGCGGCGAGGGGAGCGGCGTCCCCAATGATGAAAAAGCCGCAGCGGCGTCCGCACGCGGTCCCTTCATAACGGGGGACGCCGCTCCCCTCGCCGCAAAAATGTTAGTGCATACGGGCCTAAATCTGTTAAACTCACTCATCATTACTCTTCTCACTTAAAATATCGCGAAATATCGCGTATGTGATCAGAGTAAGAAGACTGAATATGCTTACTGCGGTCAAATATAGTATACCGAACTGACCATGCATAGCATCCATTATGCCGCAGATAAGCTGACTATCGGTGACTTAATTTAGCAGGTTTTTTATTTATTCAAATGATTGTTTAGATATTGTATTTAGATTATGCCGCAGTAGCGGCGTACGTCTTTGCACTCGCAATGGGCTTTGCCGAAATACGCTGTTTTATTTTTGCTTTCACAAATTGGTTTGCTTCCATTTTGACTCCGAAAGGGCCCAGCGCGAAGGTGGCAAATGGTCGGCGAAACGACTTCGCCTTTGCCACTATCAATTCTTACGATTTCTCGTTTGATCCCGCCACTACGTAGATTGTTCAATTGAAGCGCGCTCTCTTCTTCAAAAAGAGCGGCGTCATGTTATTCTGGATCCTAATAAAGAAAAGAGAAGGAGTTTTCAAACCAGAAATATTGCTATCTATATACAGAATTTTGGGTGTAGAACAGTCTTCTTTAAAAATTTGAAAAAACTTACGTGAAATGGAAGTTCTGCAAATGGAACCTCAAATGGACGTAGGTGGGCAATTGCCCACCCAATTTGGAAAAAATAGGCACGCTCTTTACACATACATTTTTCATGAATTTTCATACTCTGTCTCTTAAGTAGGTCGCCAGACTAAGCAATCGTCCTGCTTCAGCAGGACGCGGCGCAGTTACTGTCAGTTGTTGTCATGTTGTAGGGGAATCAAGTCGACGCGCTATTCTGCTACAACAAAAACATTTCACTGGTAAGGCCTTTTCATCATACTCTCATTTGCGAGGGTTTTTTATTACCTCTCCGAAACTACGTTGTTACAAACATCGCAGACACCACATAGATTTCCGTCCAACATGACGCCAAATGACATTAGCTTACTAGTTGCGCAGCGTACTACTGAAGCAGGCAATCGTTTGTCTGGCGCCTACCTTAGTCCAACTGCGCATGCACACACCAAATTTCGTGCCATATCGTCGTCAATGCGTTGCAAATGAGCCATTTTGGTAGTGGAAAATTTTCAGAAAAAAGCTTGCCGCAATCTTCAGTCACGTAATTTTTCCACAACATTCTGCACTAGGCTCCTCCCAGTCCATGTCTCTTTATTACTTCTTGAGTTCTTGTTCATACTGTTATGTGTGCGCTGTAACCGAGACATAATTACAACTCAATAAAAATTGTGATTTCTGAAAATTACGAGCAACTAAGAGTGTTTTTGACAGTCGTGTAGTAACTCGTCGAGGATGTATGTACATGTAAACGTATATTCAATACGTGTATTTCTTATTTACATTTCCCCCTTTGCTTTTCTCAAGAACGAATTCCAGCTTGACATTTGCCCACTCGTGCCAAACTCTGTTTGCGGATGTTCTCTTACGTTGGACGTCGTGACGATGGTCAGCAGCTATCTCTGCAGGCCACAACTGTAAAGATGTGCCACTGTTACGCTAAGCTTGAAAATCGGGTAGCTCAAACTCTAGTAAAATGCTTTTCGTTTTCTTTAC